ATAAAAATTTATTTTATAACAACTTCAGCGCAATATTTATATACTACAAAAATTATGCAGCTAAAGAGAACAACAGGAAATCCATTTCTTTCCAAGGTTGGCAGTTATCGTATGAAATTAGTACAGATCCAAACATTTGGTCTTGGTCTAATACCAATGAATTAATTTGAAGAATTAATATGGTCTAACCAAGGACCCTTTAGGGAGGACTTCAAGACCATAGCTTTGAAGCCTGAATAATAATTTTCTAAAAATCTGTATCCGTCGTAAATGTCTAAGCTAATTAAATGGGAAGCCATAACTTGTGCAAACGAAAGACTGCAGTACCAACCGGTAAAAAAGGATGGCGAGAACGCTCAAGTTTGAATCCCCGAAATGCGAAATAACTACTGCGAATGCCCTGCTCTATTTATTTTTACAATTAGTAAAATTATAAATGTGTGTAAATAATAAACATATTTATACTGCTCTGATATGTACTTTAACAAAATTAATAATACGATTTTATTTACTTTCAAAATTCATCGAAAAAACAGTAAAACTATAACTTAGACTAATTAATGTGCACCAGCTATTCTGAACACAAACTAACTCACAGAAGATGGAAACAGACTAACGCTTATCAGCTGAAGATTACCTTCGACCATGAAACAGTTATGCCACCGTTCACCCTATTTTGGTCTAGTAATGCATACCTTTATCAACAGAGATAATCTACTCTGAACTCTGAACTATACAAACGCCTTATCAAGAACGGTTTTATCAATTGGAATAAAGGTAAAAGTTAGGTAGGTATATATAAAGAGATCAAAAAGAATTGTTTGTCAGTACAGCATTCTGAGCAGTCTTACAGCTCCTAAAAAAATACAAAAACTACATACAATCAGCATCATGAAAACCTCTGTGTTCTTTGGACTTCTGGCTTGCCTTAGCTTGGTCAATGCAAGTATGTATTTTGATTATCCTTTAACTTTTTTGATCTTTATTTTATCTTATGTATGAAATTCTTAGGAAATGTATACAATTCCGAAGTTATTTAGAGAATCTATAAAATATTGTTTGAAAGAAGAAAGTGATGTATTCTTTTTATATTCTTTTAGGAGTGACTGTGTTGGATTCCTCATTCAACTCTACTGTGGAAGAAATTAGGAAAGTGTTAGAACAATTTGATCCAGCAACAGTTAAGGATGTTTCTTTTACTTTGCTTAACCAGTGAGTATAATAGAATTTATTACATCTTTAGCATCTATTTCAACAGAATCACACAATAACTAAGAATATAGAGATAAGCGATGCTCAGTGCTTTGAATTTTACTTCTTTTATTTACATCCGAATTACATTAGTAATTCACATTGGTTTTAATTTTTTACAGAATCACCTTTACTCTTAAATCCGCTTCGCTTTCAAAATTCTCCAATTTCGCTTTCACAACATTATCAAATGATGGCGAAAACATTAGGGCCAAATTCAGTCATCCAGAAGTTGATGCTGTTATAGACAGTCTTAAAATTAGTAGCAAATTGTTGGGAATTGATGCTGGTGTTCCCAATCTAGAGTAAGTAAAAGTAAAATCGAGATAGAAATAAATAGACAGTATCTCATTTTCGCTACTTTATCTCCTTTATTTTTAAAGATAGATGGCTGCGATTTTCGCAATCGTTTCCTATTTCTTGTGGCACTAAAGGTAGTGCCAGCAGAATTTTCATATCCCTTTTGGTTCTTGAGATAAAGGAGGGAATTGAAAAGTATCACCTTTGAGGCACCTGGTCCTTCCCCGTATCTTAAACTTTTGGAAAAAGAAATTTTTACAAAATCTGAAATTCTGAGCTTGTCTTTGAAAATAATTGTATGCAATTATACCTATATTTTTGGGAAGCCCACTTTATGGGAGGAAGGGATGCCACAAAAATGATACTTTTCAATTCCACCTTGTATTTCATAAGCCAAAAGGGATATAAAAATTCTGCTGTCGTCATCTTCATTTTCATAAAAATAGCATCAAAGTATTGCGAAAGCCGTAATCCCCTACTTCTAAAACCAAGGAAATTACCCCGAAAGGTTTCAAAAATGGAATAACATGTACATATTTAATCATGCCAATTTAAGAATAGCTACTTAATAAATAACTGTATAAATATTTATCTCATAGAGCATCAGTGGGAGGATTAACCATTGACGTATCTCTTTCGTACTCTACTACACCTCTCAGATTAACATCCCTTAGCGCACTGGCTCAAATTGCTGATGCATCTGTAAGTATTTATTAACGTGCAGGTTTTTGGTGGTGACAGTATCATTGATATTTTAAAAATTATGACAGGTAAAAGGAACAGCAAGTCTCAATGGTAACATCATTGACATCTCAGTTGGCGAAGAAGTCGTCGCTGTAATTAACAAGAAGGCTGTGGAACATCAAGACAAAATCAGTGCCGTAATAATGAAAGTTGCTAACAAAATTTTGACTGTTGTACACCCTAACTCTCACTAAACAGTACATGATTATTAATAATAACAGTATCCATATAATTTCAACATTGTTCAACATTCATTAAAATCTGTGCTAATCAGGGTGAAAACGTTTATTTTTACTCTGCAAGTAGCGCAGACTCTTCATTCAACTATTAGTGTGAAATACTTGTTTCTATTTAAAATGTAGAAATAATGTTATTTTATTTAAGGATTTTAATACATAAATAAAGGTATTTTTATTCACTTTAAAGCTTTTTAATACAGTTCTAAAGACTTCAAATTATCAACAAAAATAGTTACAAAATTAATAAACGGAATGATCTAAACGACATGAGTGCCAAAAGAAGATAAGCAGATTTGGAAATGAGAAATTTACGAATATAAGGGTAGGTAGATTATTCTTAATATCAGTAAAATCAGTTCAAATTTGAACAAAGAGGTACTGGTGTCGATGGAGCAGACCATTAATTTGTGCAATAGGTGACTCCACAGGTGGTTGATTGATGACACAATATAAGCATATAAACACGTTCAGCACGCCAAATTCGCGATTTTTGATTAAAAATCCATATCCTAGACATCGAAAGTTAATCTAAAAGGCGCAGTCATAATTATTGAAACATTTTAATAGTTAGATAATACAAGAATTAGTGATGACCTTAGTCTTCTAGTCTTGCTCTTGGTCCTACATTTTCGCAAGACTGTCTTTATACTAACAAAACTAAACGAACAAGACCAACACTAAAATCAAGACCANAAATTTTTTACCCACTACACGCCACCTCAAATTAATGAGGGAAAAATTGTTGCTGTTGTCACACCTTCAGAAATTGAATTTTCAGTATAATATTTCATATTAAACTAACTCACTTCTAAAAAGATGTCTAAATTGTACGTATGTTTAATCATAGTATATTCAGTATTTATTTACATCAGTTCGACGAATCGTTAACCTTGTAGGTCGGTTGGTCCGTGGTTGCTGTTGTCACCTCTCGTAGTTTAGTGGTCAGAACATTGGTGCGTAAAGCCAAAGGTCCCGGGTTCGAGTCCCGGCGGGGGTGTGACAACAGCAACAATTTTTTCCTCATTAATTTGAGGTAACGTGTAGTGGGTAAAAAATTTAGAAATTGAATTTTCAGTATGTCATATCAAACTTTACCAGTGTTTGAAAAAGGGATCTACAAGAATGTCCTCCAATTTATGCATTAGAGGAAGAGTAAGTTCTCCAGCTTTCATAACTACCACAACTATCGACATTGTCTTCTTTAAAAGTCATGACAAGCTCGCATATATGACAAAAAATTGCAGCATTTAAGACAATTTATTATTGTGTCGGTAAATAAAAAAAATACAACGTGTAATTATACAACACGCTAGTGAAGTGAAACTTCTTCAAACACACAAACATACCGGGATAGCGGTTAAGGAATTGGTTTAATGGTATTATTTGTACACTATGCTTCGCACGGGTGCAATGCTGATAGTAAATATACTATAGAATGTCTTTATATACAACAATCACAGCTTTTTTGTCATTAGACAATACAAAC